GCAAGAGGGCCAGACAGCCAAGTTAATTTCTTGCGCAAGAAAGCCCGATGGCTAAAATGGCCATCAGAGCTTTCTTGCGCAAGAGAGCATCTACACTGGCACAGATGCTTTTGTGCAAAAGCAAATCTTTTGCGCAAACGCACATGCCAGTATAGACGCTCTCTTGGTTGTTTTATTTATTTATTTGTACTGTGGGCAAAGCATGGGCTCACAAGAATCCCTCCATTGTTCTACCATGAGTCTCAAAACATTTGGTGTTTTTCTAAAAACCTGGAGTCAATTAATTATGTAGGAATCTCAGCTTTCATTTAAAAATAGTTCTCTATACTTCTGGGCCTTACAGCTAAGGAGGAAAGCTTTAAAACACGAACCCTAAATACTCAAACAAAAGGCCAATAAAAATCCAACTTGTTTTATTTTTAAAATATCTTCTGATTTGTAGACCATTCTCAGAACTTTGTGTAGGCGTTCCTTGTGATTTTTGGTTTGGCAATACTGCTCTTTGGTGAATTTAGAGAGGTCTCTCCCTTCAGTTTCTCTTTCCACCCTCCTTTTTTGTCTCAGGTCATCAGAGACAATGGAGAGTAGGGTGAGTGCATGACTATGGTTAATGACTGATCAGGGTGACTAACTATTATCAGCCAGTGGTCTGAATGAGCTATCTACTGCCATCTGTTAATCAACTGTAGGAAAAGGCTTCAGGAGCAGACCTTATTTATATAGTCATACCAACTTTGCCACAAAGATCAGTAGACACACTTGCTGTGTTAAGGTGCTCAATTTTGGCTCTTTTGGGTCGAAATTCATTTAAGACTTGGAGCTGGGAGAATGAAATGTTGTAATCCATATTGTATGATTAAAAAGTAAAAGACCTGAACTTAATATGACCTGGCTTAGGGTCTACCATAACTTGAACACTAAGCAGAGGGATAGTGAGTCACAGCTAACTGAAAGTCACAGAAGATGGAAACAGGTTTTATTTCTGGTGGTAGAGTCTATTTGGGAGTCCTCAATTATTTGTGACACTTTACATCCAGTGTTTCAAGGCAGAGCTGACTAGAATCAATTGAGAGTCCCTGTCTTGTCTCCGTGATTGCTTGAGCAAAAATCATTGATAAAATCTTGTGTAGACTGACCTTGGACTCAACATGCAGGCAATATGTGTTGAAGGGCAGTGCAAAGGAGACAATGGTGGTGAGGTGCCATATTACTTAGTGAAATCAGTGGTGTTGAAATCACTAAGGACTGGAATTTGACCACAGAACTGACACTTTCTTAACAAAGACTATATTTTTGCTATTTAAAAAGTAAATCAATGTAACAGAAAACTGCAATGCTCTCTGGTAATTTTAAAAATCAAACTTTAAACTTTATTGAAAAGATTGGATAGTGCATAATTGAATTCTGATAACTTTTTAAAAATCAAACTTTATTGAAAAGATTGGAGAGTCTGCAATTGAAAATATTTGACCTACACTAAAGGCAACTTATTTAATTTTGTGTAAAATTTTGCATCATAAAGGATAGCATTTTTTAAAAAACATGTTCAACTATATTGATCAGATCTACTTCTGATGTGATATTTACGTGTGGTTGTGGTGCTTTTTTTTTGCTCAACAAAAAATCCTGGGTGGGGGAGACCCCGCCAAAACTGTTCGAATTGGGCCCCACACTTCCGAAAGCCAGCCCTGCCTGTTGAAGTCCTAGGCTTCACCACATCCTCTGACAAGGAGTTCCAGAGGGGGACTGTGCGCTGAGTGAAGAAAAACTTCCTTTTGTTTTATTTGTTTGATTAATCATTTCTATTGATATCAAGAACATCAAGGGCTGTAACAGTGAAAGTTAACATTTTTGGAAGGAATATTAAATTGAGTGCTTCCTAGAATCCTAGGGCTGGAAGAGACCTCAGGAGGTCATCAAGTCCAGTCCCCTGCCCAAGGCAGGACCAATCCCAACAATTCCTGGTTTAAAACAGTCTCTAACTACTAGGGATTTCAAGACCTGATGCAGGTAGGAGATTATTTCATACCCGCCTAATGTAAGGTTTTTGCATCTTCGTCTGAAGCTGCTGGTATCGACCACTGTTGGAAACAGGTTACTGGACTAGACTGGCTCAATCCCAAAATCAATCTTGTAATTCCTATGTTTGTAAAGTTTCTAAAATCTACAGTTTTATCTCTAGACACACCAAGCAGCCCAGGCAAATTCCCAGTGGTTTAATTCCCGGGCAGTTTCATGAACCCCGCAATTAGTTCACAAGTTGAGAATGAACCAGCTCCTGTAGCTCTCTCAATGGCAACCTCTTTTCTTTCCTTCCTCCTCCCCAAACAAATTTCCTGTTAACTGGAACTGGTCATAAGAATTTGGCCAGCATTTTTTCTCTGAAATTTTTAGCTAAAACAATTTCATTTGATAAAATCGTCAATTTTTGCAACAAAAAGATTTGCAACAGAAATCAATTTAATTTTATTTTGGTTTTGAAAAATCAAAGCAAAAGGAAAATGTTCTGAAATTTTCTATAAAAGGTCTAAAAATTTTCTGTGAAAACAAGCTTTTGAACAAAATGAATTTCATTCAAACATTTTCATTGAAAAAAATAGTAGTTTTTTCTACCATCTTCAGCTACGATTGACCTGAAATGCAGGGCCATTCTTAAGATTTTTGGTGCCCTATGAAGCCTAAGCACCCGCACCCACCATCCCCTGTGGGGGAGGGCAGCCACTCCATGGGGCGGGGCTGTGCTCAGGGATGAGAAGAGGGTAGGAAGGCTGGTGGGAGAGCAGGCAGACTGAGTGGCATAGCCAACTGGAACTGTGGGCTAGAAGGCATAATAGCCTGCCGGAACTGCAGGCTGGCAGATGGAAAGGGGGCCTGCAGATTGGGGTGGGAAGAGCAGATTGGGTCAAACAGGGTTGGGAGGCAGAGCCAGGAGCTAAGGGATTAGGGCCATGAGGCGGGAGGGAAGCAGGGGCACTGGGTCCAATGAGGCTGGGAGTTGGAGTAGAGGGCCAACAGATTAAGGCTTCTGCACCCATTGGTGGCCCTAAGCATACACAGCATAAGAGACTTCTAAATTTAGAGCTAAGCATACACAGCATAAGAGACTTCTAAATTTGGAGCTCCACTGGTGCCCCACATTTAATGGTGCCTTACATAGCTGAAAATACCTAAGGACGGCCCTGCTTAAATGTCACAACAGGTTCTAAGTCTGAAAATTTTGCAACTGCCCAGGTTTGCAAAACATTTAACTCCTCAGATGCCTGTCCACGTTCAAGTGGGTCATTGTACTTGCTCTTCGTCGTGACGGGGGCACCAGCATTAAAACTCCTGGTTCTCCTTCCAAAAAGCCATTGTTTATCAGCTCAGCTGTAAACTCACCCATGCTGCTGTGCTCCAACCTCACCTGCTGACCCACTTTGTGGGCTATTATAACAGCATTTTCCTCCAGCTCAGCTTCATTGATAGGACGAATCCGTAGAGCAACCTGCACACAGACACAAAGGAGTTGCTCTGGTTGTAAATACTCCCCTAGCCAATGCAGGCTACTCCATCACTAACTCATTCTCTTTTCAAGTGACATGATCCCCTATTTAGAATAACTTTATATTGATTTTTCTTTATTCTCCAGGATATTTAACAGCACCAGTGAAGCTTAAAATATTTATTTCTCCAATAATGTTCACGTTTTGTTTCAACAAATGCCTATTCCCTATTACACATCTCTAAAAGAACAAAATCCCAACACCATTCCATTTTGTTTAGTTCTCTGCCCACCAACACTATTGCCATTTACAGAGGTTGGAGCTGTCTGGATTCTGCAGAGCTGTTAGGTACATTATGTTTCTATTGTATCCCCAAAACACTGATTACAATTGTATGTTATTTAGTTCTTGGTGACAGAATAGTGGAATTTAAGTTGAGTGAGCACCTACATTTGAACATTTTGGCCTTAGAATTTGAACATAATAAAAAAAATCTCATAATTTTGTAGATTCAAAACCTAAAACAAACATTATCTTCAGAAACTAAAGAGGTGACCTCAAAGCTCTTATTTAACTCATTTCATTACCGCATGGGTGAAATTAGCCACTTTGCAGGACCTACAAAATCACAACAGTTTTTGTTCTTTTGCATCCTCATCTGAAACTATAATGAGCAGCAGATTTATGAATCCTTTTGCTACAAGTTGTACCTGCCTTGTCCGGCACCCTCGGCTCCTAACTGGTCCTGAACAAGGGGATCTGCTGGACCAGGGAAGGTCCTTTCCAACATGGCCTGTGCTGCCCCTGGCTAGGGCACCAGCCCGGCCCCATTGAGTCCCAGGCTGGAGCTGCATGACAGCCACCAGAGCAAGAGCTCCCTGGCTACCGCAGCCACGCCCGAGCGCCACAGCCAGGGCTGTCGCTGCCGGTCCCTGAGCGCCAGGGCCGGAAAATTGCGACTGCTGCTGCCGGCCCCTTGCTACTGTCCCGCTGCAGGGGTCAGAACTCCCTGCTACTCCTCTGCCCCCTCCCCCAAAAGGCTCCCAGCTGAGTGGCTGGCCCCCCACTGCCACTGCATGGATGTTGCTAGACCAGAGTCCCGGTTAAAGGAGGTACAACCTGTAGCAGGCTGCCGCTAATGTCACGATACTGCCATACAAAAAACAGCCACTCATTTCAGTATCCAAAAATCAGGGAGAAGAATTTTTTTTTAAAGAAGACATTCTTAGGAACGTTCTACCGAACATGTGATTGACACTACATCTGTGATACAGAACACGTTTGACAAAGTTTATGATGATATTGTGTTATGCTTAGTGTGATGTAGACAGATGCAGGGGGGGGCAAGCCTGAACTTTGAAAATTTTCTAGATCCAAACCCTGCAGCTGGGGTCATCAGTAAACTGTTAACTAGTTACCCATAAACAATACATAACTCCTTAGCAATCAATGATTACATTGTCCCAAACTCTCCACTGTGCACATGTCCATAACACACTGTATATAATTGTACTATGAAACAGCCCTAGAGCTGTGCCTGCCCCCCTACATGTAAACTTGTAACTGCTGAAAAATTCAGCAGTTCCACATTCACACACTACATGATTTTTAACATCCCAAATTTGCAGCCCACAATTGTATTACATCTACACAACCTAGGATCTATGCTATATATTATTGGACACTGTCTTTTGGTAACTTATCCATGATCTATTTACATATAGGCTACGTCTAGACTAGCATGATTTTCTGCAAATGCTTTTAACGGAAAAGTTTTCCATTAAAAGCGTTTGCAGAAAAGAGCATCTAGATTGGCACGGACACTTTTCTGCAAAAACTGCTTTTGCAGAAAAGTGTCCGTGCCAATCTAGATGCTCTTTTCTGCAAACGCTTTTAATGGAAAACTTTTCCGTTAAAAGCATTTGCAGAAAATCATGCTAGTCTAGACGTAGCCTATATGTAAATAGATCATGGATAAGTTACCAAAAGACAGTGTCCAATAATATATAGCATAGATCCTAGGTTGTGTAGATGTAATACAATTGTGGGCTGCAAATTAGGGATGTTAAAAATCATGTAGTGTGTGAATGTGGAACTGCTGAATTTTTCAGCAGTTACAAGTTTACATGTAGGGGGGCAGGCGGGTGCCGGTGCTCACGAAGAGCTGACTTAAGTCTGTTCCCCATGAGCCCTGGCTCCCACCTGACACCCTCCCCCAACTGCCTCTGATAGAGGGGCAGAAGGGTGGGGGGGACGGCAGCTCCAAAGGAAACAATACGTGCAGGGAGCTGGCTCGAGAGAGATGCTTCCCATGTGTACCGGCTCCCACCTGCCCCCATCACCTCCCACACTGCTGCCTCTGATAGAGAGGGCTTGCAGCTCCACAGGAGCTAGTAAACCTTTTAAGCAGGCTCCCATAAGCACTGCTTCTGCTTGCCCCACCCCCGGGTTGCTGCATCAGTGGGTACTTAAACAGTTAAGTGTACATCTCCCATCAGTACAATGGACTAGCAATATCTGTTTAACAATTGCTCAGAGAATACTTTAATGTGAGTGAAATGCTATTTAAAGTAATTGGCTGTTGTGTCATACCTGAAAGGTGACCCGCTTTCAAAATAGTCTTGCTATAAAGCCCCCAAAGTCACATACAAAGAGTTTCTATAGAGACCAAATCTATTTCCACAATAACAAATCTTGTGCTGATTTTAGGAGTATTTCCAAAGGCAGCTCTCCAGGCACTCTCCAGAATCACCTAGTACATAACACTTTAAAGTCTAGTAATATAAAAGTAAGGCTGATTTTTGGATGAATATTAACAGGATATAAGCAGCGGCACCCTAACTCTGTGGGAAGTTTAATATTCATAGAGGACCTGGAATGGATTCTTGCTTTATTGTCAAGTCTAAAAGACTTTGGATGAAATTTTAGACGTGACTTTGGAGCTTAATTTTCTTGGGATGCAGGCACTTTTAAAAATGTTACTCTATCTGTAGCACTCTAGCTGTACTTCTTATGTTGAGCAGGCAATGGTGTAAGACCGACAAGCCTCTTTTTCATGTCTGTTATTGCTCATGTAACCCACACACCTTCTGGCTGTGGTGTACTGTCTCATGTAGTTGCACTTAGACCCCTTACAGAAAGAATGAATTTTCTCTACAGCCCTAGCTTAGCTTTCAGCTCAAGTGATAGAGGCTCATGCTCTAAGCTCCAGGTTCAGTTCCGCCTGTTGCGTTACACTCACATCCCAAAGCAGGTAAATTAAAAGAATTTTTGTAGCCACCAAGGGAAGACAAGAAAGCATGTGACAAAGGATCAGACTCAGTAAAAAGGACTTACTGGCATTATAAGTGAACTGAAAATATTTTACATACTACTATACGTTATTATAGAAGAGATTCCTGTTACGTTAAATAGTTAAATGTGTTTCTCAACCTTTTTTATAAAGTACCCCTTTAAAAAAATTATAAGTACCCCCAGTACCTGCAGTTTTCAGACACATGGAATTTTTTTCTATCATTGCAACATGTTTGTGTAAACAACTTAATCATAGCCAGGCGGGCAATGAAATTTGTGGGTGTACAAAGTAAAAAATAATAAAGCACTGTAAAACAAAAAAAACCCCAAAAATTCTGTTTTCTCCAAATTTCAGTTGTGTTGCCATCCTCCTCCCCAGTCTTCTCTTGAGTACTCCAAGGGTACTTGTACCACTGGTTGAGAAACACTGGTTTAGAGCTCAAAGCAGAGATGTCTGTAGATGTGTTTCTGACACACAGTCATAGCAAAAATAAGTGTGAGGAGTGAGAGATTATTTAAATAATAAAAAACGCGGGAGAGGGATTAATTAAAGAACTGTGTACAAAATCATTACAGGAAAAAAAACTAGTACATTCCCGTGATCCACACCAAGAAATGCCAAAATCTTGGGACTGGACAGATTCTATCAGGGACTCTAATGAGTGAAACCTACTTGCTTTCAACTCAGCATATATTAACAACATACAATTGCCAGCTTCAGGGGGTAGCTGAGTTAGTCTGTATGGGATAAACTTAAAAAACAACCAATAGGCTGGTAAGACTAATTGTTGTTTTTAAAGTTTATACAATTACCATTCAGATGGAGAAGCTGAAATGCTCAGTTGCCTTGATTGGAAAAGGCTTTCACAGAAAGTGACATGGGGCACACCTGTCAGTGTATCCTGTCCCACCCGTTACCACTACAAATCTGGCCCCTGCAGGATGTTTTCTTTGTCCAGTCTTGCGTTCAGTCCAGCAGTAGTTTGTTCCGCAGCAGCGGTTGCCCAGGGCTCTCAGATGCGCCAGCTGCGAGCGCAGCCAGGGGTGCTGCTGGAACAATTTTTAATTGGGGATGCTGGGAGCCACGAAACCAAACTATAAACCTTGGATATATTGGAAACCCCTTCAAGCCAGGGAGAGCTGTAGCACTCTCAGCCCGTAGCTCCCGCACCCATGGGTGCAGCTGGGCATTGCCTAGTAGACAGGAAAGGGACCGTGCCTGGCTGCCTACGCCCAAGGCCGCCTGACTGCCCGGGACTGCCGGACTCACCGTGAGCTGCTGCTGCCGCTGCGGGCCGCCCCGATCCTTCATGGCCCAGC